GGGAGGACATAATGTATCCTTGTTAACTTTCTCTAAAATCATGTCATATATACTTCATTTGAAACGATATAGCTTTAATGTGGCTCTCTCACTTAACAACAAGATTGGGCAGCAAGTCATCATTCCAAGATACCTGACCCTATCATCTCATTTTATAATGCCAGAAAGTAAGAAATTGCTAAGGGGAAAACAAAGAAAGAAACAAAAACAAGAACAAAAACAATGATGAGAGCATGTAAGGAAGACCCAAGGAGCCATGAAAGACCTCCTAATGGCCAAGCTGGAATAATTTGAGCAAAAAAACAAAGTAGTGCCGGATCACAACTCAAAAGTATAAAATAAACATCAATGTATTCCTACAGATATAAATAAATGATTGAATAAATAAATGAGGAAGAAGAAACAAATGTCCCACACAGAAGAATTCAAAATAAAATAATTTATGTAGATAAGCCACACTCAATGACGTAGAACTAACTCCCCAATCCATAAGTGTGGGCTGCACATAGTGACTTTCTTTCGAAAAATTACCTCAACCAAGTGATCAAGGTTCATATCAACAGTGTTAAGTCATGTGGATCATATATACTTTTGATATTTTGTGATTTAAAAAATGGCACTTGTGACCTAACTCCCCAAAATATACCCAAATCTTATTGTGAGAAAAAACATCAGACAAATCCTAATGAAACAAATACCATAAAAACCTATCTAGTTCTTCTCAAAACTGTCAATATCATCAAAAACAAGAAAAGTCTGGGAAACTGTGAAAACCAAGAGGAGTTTAAGGAGATATGACAAGTAACTGTAATGTATATCTTGGATGAGATCCTGTAGGAGGAAAAGGACCTTAAGCAAAACTATGGAAATCTGAATGAAGTGTGGATTTCATTAACAATAATAATGTATCAATATTAGTTTATTAATTATGACAAATGTGCCATACTAATGTAAGGTACTATCACTAGGGGAAACTGGGTGTGGGACATATGGAACACTATATTATGTTTGTAATGTTTCTGTAATAAAAGATTTACTTTTTAAGTAGTGAACAGTGTATTTCTCTCATTTTCTATTTTTGGGACCAGTCTGTATAGCAGCACTTTCAATGGAAAAGTACAAGCAGTCCAGTAACTGACCCAGGTTGACATTGGAATATGATCAAGGTAATAGTAAAGGTTATACTGTTCAATAAATATTATTGGAAAATTAGCTACCAATTTTGGGGGAAAAAATGTGATCTCTACCCTCTTGCCAAATCAATTCCACTTAAATCCGCAAAGATTTGCATATAAAAATAAAGATATAATAATTCTAGAAGATAATGAAAATCAGTATCTTTATATATTTGGGGTAGGATGGCCTACATATAATCATTCTCATGACAAGACTATTAGTATCAATGAGCAGTAAACTGAGCCAATGATATGAAGCACAAGCTGAAACACTCTCCCAGTACGAAGAGAAGCATAATCTGAGAGAGCCTGCAAAAAATAATGAAAGGTAAGCATGAAAAACAATGGAGACGGTTATATCCTAGAAGAAAAAATTAAGAACAAAGAAAACAAATATAAAACATCTAGTTTTCTGAAACAAAGTTCCCCAAAATAAAGATCTAAGTTAACAGAAAAAGCAGAAAGAATTAAAACAACAACAACAACAAAAACAGTCAAGCAGTATGTCCAAGGTAACACAGCTAACTTTTGGTGGAGATGGCTTTGAAGCCAGAACAACCTCACTTTCAAGCTCATGTTCTTTCTACTTTCATATATGTGCTCAATTAGCCATTAAAAAGTAATCTCTCTACATGAAATATGGTACTTCGCACTGGATTCTAGATCAGAAAAGGGACATTAGTGGACATTTATTAAATTCTAATAAAGTCTAGAATTTAGTTAAGAGTAACATACCAATGTTAATTTCTCAGTTTTTATGATTACATCACAGTTACAGAAGATATTAATGCCAGGGGAAACTGAGGAACGGCAGGCAGTGTACAACTTTTCTGTAAATCTAAAACTATTCTAAAATAAAAAGTTTATTAAATAAAATAAGTCTCTCAAAATGGTACCTTGAGTACTATCTTCAAACCCATAAGTACAGAGATTTATTGCATAAAACAAAATTTTAGAAAGGGCATGCTTTGCATTAAAGACTTTGATTATAACAGGTTTACTGATGACTTTAAAAATTAATATCTGTTTCAATTTAATTGCACAGCTTTTTTTGAAAAGACTGCTTACATAATTTCTTCCACATCATTTTTCCTTTCATGTGGATAAAAATTATAGAAAACTGTAAACAGTAGTTTCTAAAAACATAAATAATCTGGTTGTGATGAACTGCTTTCCATTTCTGCTACAGATATGACAGAAGTTCTTTAAAGAAATTTGTAACAGCAAGAATTAAATTTAAAGGATTAATGTAGCTGCCTGATTTTAGGAGCTGTCAGATACTGAAAGAATCAGGACTCCAGAAATAAATGAATTCTAGGGGAAAAGCTGGAGCATATAATTAAGTAGAAAACTCAAAGGAGTTTGACTATGTAAGAAAAGAGGGAGAAAAAGTAACTAAAAAGAGGGAGAAAAAATAAAGGAAACTAATGGAAATCAGGGCTTACGGTGTCTCTAAAAAAATGAGATGTGATAAACCATGGAATGGGAGGGGAGATGACAGCAATATGAATAGTGTTAAGTCCAATCATGTCACTGTCTTGCTGTGGTCCCCATCACTTAGAGCAGGAGCCAGAGAACCACGGGGCTCTTGAGGGCCTGTCTCTGCCTCTATTGCATCTTTCCTTCCCTTCTCCTTCTCACCCTGGCCCTCACCCCCTCCAGCCTGCCCAGTCTCCAAGCAGTTCCTCAGGCAGCCCAGCCTTTCTTTGCACATGCTACTCTCCCTGCCAGAATGTCCCTCCCCCAGACATTTCTGTGGTCAACCTCCTTAATCTCCTGCAAGTTTTACTCAGATATTAACTTTTCAGTGATGTTCCACTATATACATTCTATTTAAAATAGCCGGGCGCGGTGGCTCACGCCTAGCTAATCCTAGCACCCTGGGAGGCTGAGGCGGGCAGATCGCTCAAGGTCAGGCGTTCGAAACCAGCCTGAGCAAGGGCGAGACCCCGTCTAGTAAGTGTTCAATAAATATTTGTCGAAAATCACATTTGTACAAAAATATAATTTTTCATTATCATCATTAAAATTAGAATAATAAAACATTGAAAACTTATCCAAAGTCATTTTTTTGAGCAATTGAGGTCATTTTTTTGCCTGTCTATGTCTTCCAGGTATTTTCTACACTGAACAATTACTTCTATAATGTTTTAAAAGAAAGTTTTGTTTTTGCAAAAGACTGGGCAGCTGTCATAGATCATTTCAACTCAAGCACATTCAATATCAGAGTCAGAAAGAATAAAAGTTTATTCTACCAAGGCCTATTCTTCTTACGAGCGTGAATAACAGATCGGCAAATGATCAATAGAATGATCCCTAAGTTAATAGAATCATAAAATTATAACCTCCTCATTTTAAAGATGAGTAAACGGAGACCTAGAAAAAAGTTAAGTCACTTCCTCAGATTCAGTTAGAATATAGCTGATGACGTGGTGAACATAGAGCTAGTCCTAAACAAAAGTCTGAAGCATTAGAGATTGACCTGGCACATCAACATGCTGAAATACAATGAGAAGTCCAGATTGGAAATGTTCAGTTCACCATCTGAGCAGACCTTTATTTTCTCCAACTTGTTTCTGTTTCATTGCTCGAAGATGCTTGGGAGTGGTTGCTTCATGTCGTTTGAACATTCAAGATTCTCTCTGCAGTAAGATGGCTCGCAAAATAAGCAGCGTGATCACCTTCCCTATGTATTTTAGCATGCTCAAGGACCACTGTACCTTCCAGATTCCACCCAACAGTCAGCCTCTTGCTCTAGCCCTCTATTTGTCCAGTTGAGAGAAGTGTGAGGCCAGATATTTTACAAATTTCTTATTATTTTTAGTGGATGAACTGTCAATTAACTGTCATAAAATCAAACGGAAGCAGCCTTCAGGGTCTAAAAACGTGTCATTTATCTTTACAAAAAAAATCTAATTATTTTGCTAAAAAACTGCACGCGTACTATTGTTTCATCATAAGTCGGGGGGTGGGGGAATAAATCTGCTGTTGCATTTTCTTCTCAGAGATAGCAACAGCAGTTCTTTCATACACATGCATTCCCTAGCTCCCCAGACAGTCATCTCTGACATTACACTGGTACAGGGACAGACATTTGGCAAAGACAGTCTATAAAATGAAGTTGCTATGGACCAAAACAACAGTATTGATTTTAGTACAATTCAAAACACAAGAAAACATCGGTTTTCTAAATGGCACAAGTTGAAAAGGACAGGGAGAAACAGACTGCAAATAGTGGAAATAGGAAAAGAATAAAAGACAATTACATTAGCCAACATCTTAGTGTTCTTTCAGGTTGTTTATTTTTTAAGTCTGAAGAACTGAGAAGGCTGAATTATTAAGATGTTGAATTGTCCCTATCTAAAAATCTTAAATTGCTCATTTACAGATACTGTCTTCACAGTTGGAAGCCCAAGCACCCAAAAGATCCTCATGAAACAAAGCCTTCTTTTTATTATTTTTTTATTTCAGCATATTATGGGGGTACAAATGTTAAGGTTACATATATTGCCCATGCCCTCCCTCCCCCCTCGAGTCAGAGCTTCAAGCACGACCATCCCCCAAATATCCTAACCCTCTGGATATCCGAACATCCTCTTTAAAGCTCAAATAGTTTTTCTTTTTTCAAATAACATCCCTTACTGTCTCTTTCTTAGCAAATGGCAGGGCTGTCTAAATTGCATTATAAATACATCATTTACCAAAATACTAAGTTTGCTACAAGCAAATGTTTTCCTTAAATATCCTTAATGAGATAAAATGACTTTCAAGTCAGAGACCCCTAGATGGGAGGTTCCGAATGTGGACACAACAGCCAGGACTTACCATGGCCCCCTCACTTGTTCTTTGGGCAACTTCTCTCTGTAGTCGGGCCACCGCCAACTTCTCCCTGGAGAAAAAAAAAAAAAAGCACATGATTAGTTGACCTTTTGACCATTCTCAGGGCAGAGGCGACACTGGTGTGGCTGTGAAACATTCTTTTGAGGTCTCCAGAGGAACTCCTTCCTTGCTTTAGCTCACTTCCTCCACTATACTTTCTATAAATATTTAAAGTGATTCGTATGAGTGCATTGTTTTCATCAAGTGTCATGAAAGAGACATTTTTGGCCTTGGATTTTATAATAGCTAAGTAAATGTTAAATGCTGAGTGAAAGCTTTGTTTTAAGCTCATTAATGTATATCACTTATAAATAAGTTTTCCATGGCTAAAATACTTCAAGTGTCCTTTCTGTATCAACTTTGCTTATACATTTTTAATTACTTTTATTTCTTTTGTTTCTCTATGAGAATAATGAATTTTAAAAAGCAAACAAAATTTAACTCCTTACTATTCTTAAAATAACAATCGAAAATCATTTGCAGGCTTGCTATATAACAGGCACCAGGCAAGGCATTGTACCTGTTCTCATTTCAGCCTGACACCAACCCCATCAGGTGGTTTTATTATGCCCATATTATAGATGAAGCAGCTGAGGCTCAGAGAGGCTAACACACTGAGCCCCCAGATAGTAGTTTTAGGATCAAACTTTAGGTTATCTTACTTCAAAGCCTAAATAAAAATTCTGCTTATCATTTCTCAGTGTCTAGGTTATATAAACATATAAATTTAAAAAAAAAAAACATATTCTTCATTTTAGTATTCTTTAACAATGGGGTTCGGTTTTATATGCCTCATAATTATAATTCTAATTTCACTTAAAATATATCCAATATTCACCAAAATTTTAAGAATACTTTTGCAAAGTAATAGATATTTGCATTTTGGAGAGCTTTTCAATTATTCTTTAAATAGCTGATAGATGACACAGGGGTTAAGTGAACTCTTTCAGTAATCCCTAAATGTTAGTTTTAGCAAGGATTTCCCCTGAAATTCTTCTGCTGCCATTAAGATGAGAAGCTATTTCAGTGATATTTTGTCCCTTAGTCTTCCCTCTGCACAGGATCAGCAAACGTAGAGAAAGACGTGAGATTCTCAGACAAGTAAGAAGATTTCTTCCCTCCAAGCTGCTTGGGTCTTTGAAACCCCTATGACTGCCAAGAAGACATGCGCTTTAGTTGGGCTAAGGCCGAGCAGTCTTTTAGTAGGAATAGTTCTCTCTGGTTACACATCTAAAGACACAGACTAGAAGAACAGAAACTAGAACCAGGAGACGTCCAAGGGTTATAGGTCCTGTCCTGGGGCAGGACCTGCATGTGCACCTGTGAGAAGGGGCAACAATGCAGACAGGAAGGAGCCAGAAAGAGAGGGGAGTCCTGTGACTCCCTTCAAGGCCCACAAGGTAGAGAGTCCTTGCGTGTTCTCTGACTTCACAGATGAAAGGACCTCAGTAAGAAGAACTAATGACAAGCGCAAAGAATTAAAAGAGAAGGATATGACTGATTTCAGGTTTAATATGAAAATTACTGAAGGGCAGCTTCACTGGATAAAAATTTTAAATTTTTTTTAAAAATTAAAAAGAAAATTAAACACATGAATTTATCTCTTGTGTCCCAAGAAACCATTAAAAATGAAGTAAAGGGATAACAATGGTAAATACTCATAAAGTCAAATAAAACGGGAGAAAAACATACCCAATACTCTACGATCCAGCAATTCTACTTTGCAGTATAAACTCAACAGAAAAGCAAATATATATTCACCAAAAGATATGTACTAGAATGCTCACAAAAGCACTTTTGTAATAACCTTACACTGAAAATGCACATACCCATTAACAATAGAATAGATAAACTTCAGCATAGTCATCCATTGGAATACTATAAAGCACTGAGAAGGAATAATCTACACCTAATAACAACAATATACAGAACATCACAAACATGCTATTGAGTAAGAGAAACCAATGCAAAAAGGTACATACTTTATGTTCCATTTATATAAAGTGCAAATGCAGGCAAAACTCCTATCCAGTTCAATAAGACAGGAAATAAAAGAGATATTAAAAAGGAAGAGTTAAAACTGTTTCTACTCACAGATGACATTAATTTTCTACATAGAAAATCTGAAGGAATTTACTATACAACTAATAAGTTAATTTAGCAATCACAGGGTAGAAGCCAATATACAAAAATCAATTATATATACTAGTACAAAACAAGTGAAAAATAAAATTTAAAAAGCACCTATTTATAATGTCAAAAAATATATCTAGCAAACAAATTTAACAAAAGATTTGCAAGACTGCTATACCGAAAACTAAAAAACACTGCTGAGAAGAATTGAAGGAGACTAACAGAGATATATACCACATTCATGGACTGGAAGGCTTAATATTATTACACTGTCAATATGTATGCCAAATTAATCTATAAGTTATTTTTCATGGGGATGTACAACTTCACATCCCAATGAAAGAGGAAGACATGAGTAACAGAAAACAAGGAACCCCATATAGGAGAGGAGACAAGGAGGAGAACAAGAAGTGAAGAGAAAGAGGAGTGTGTGTATGTACATATGTAGTTTTTGGTAAAAAGAAGACCCTGTATAACAGTTATGTAGGAGGAGTCCAGAAAACAACCAATCCAGACTGCAGCAAGAGGACAGGGAGCCTCAGAAGGATGACTCAAGGGAAAAAAAGAAATTTGAACCAAAATAAATTACTTATGTGTTCGTAAATAATGAGAAGAGTGGTACAGTTTTAGTTTGTAAAGAATCAGATATTGGAACATGAAAACCTAAGCCAATGACAGGAAGTGGCAATTACTAACTCTAGAATAAAAGGTAATTCTAGGATTCCACTAGACTCAGCTGTGAATGACATTTACTTTGTTTTATCATAATTATTTAACCAAATTAACTTATAATTTAATGAAAAACTTGGAGAGGGGGTAAGTGTGGAACAACAGATGGTATGGAAGCACTAAATCCTTATCTTTCATATCATATTGGAAAACAATATATAATGCCTAAAAGCGATCAATCTAGGAATGTAAGTACAAGCATATTATTTAGATATGAGGATGGAAAACTCAGAAGATAGATGTAGAAGAATGGAGAATGGTTGTTTCTCTAAAGGGCAGTAATATCTCCCTCCCAGAGGCAGGGAGGGAGAGGTGTAAGTCTGCTAAATCTTATCATTGCATTTGATTTCCAAACTATGTACTTGTGTTACTTGGATTAAAAACTTCTCAAAAATATGTATTTTTAAAACAAACAATTGGTTCACTTTCTTTTATTTTATTAAAAACATTATAATAATATGTTAGTTAAAAGAAAGAGAACAGATTATTTAGCAACTGAAGATTCAGCATGAAGTGATTCATTGCCATGGTCCCGAGAAGAATATACTGTGGAAAGCTTTGGTAAATTAAGGCAAAATAAGAATTAACTATGAGCAACAAGGAGTCTTTGGACAAATGTTTTAAAGCATTTACTACAAACAGTTTACCATGTTAAAGACATATTTTAAATTTAAAAGATGTTTTACTTTTTTCAATGAAATATAAGATACACAGAAAAATTAAGAAATTACAAGACCACAGCTTGATGAATAATCACAAAGTGAGCATGTCCATTTTAGTACCACCTAAGGAAAAAATCATGGACATTACCAGAACACAAGAAGCTACTACGATGCTAATGATAATTAACTTAGTATAATAGTTCCTAAACTCATTTGCTGTACTCTTTTCTCTGCAGACTGAAACACGGAGGCATTTAACTTCTAGTCTAAACTGTTATATATGCTGTCTTATATTTTACTTGACTGTTCATTCAATATATCCTTTCCTCTCAATAAGACCATAAATCCCTCCTTGACCACATCAGTAGCAGCCAAAAATGTTGATTCATGCATTTCTGAAGGTGGTCAGTTGTGATGTAGTTGAACAAAATAAATGTTTGTGACTTGCTGAATGAGGAATCAGGCACAGAATCTAATACCAACTTGCCCACTAGAATTTTTTTTTTAAAGAGATAAAGTCTCGCTCTTGTCTCCCAGGCTGGAGTGTAGTGGTATGATCATAGCTCACACTGCAGCTTCAAACTCCTGGCCTCAAGCAATCCTCCTGCTTCAGCCTCCTGAGTAGCAAGGACTACAGCAGCTCACCAATATGCAGGGATAATATTTTTCTAATTTTTTGTAGAGATGGGGTCTTGCCATGTTGCTCGGGCTGGTCTCGAACTCTTGGCCTCAAGCAATTCTCCTGCCATAGCCTCCCAAAGTGCTAGGATTATAGGCATGAGCCGCCATGCCCAGTCTAGAATTTAAAATACCACTTTGCATTTAAATGATATATAACACAGGTACATGCAAACACACAATGATTCCCACAGGGCACCTTCTGGTTCTGATTGGCCTTAAAAGCCTTTTTACATACATTCTAAACTTATGAAAAGTATAGCTTCCACAGGCTCCCAGGCAAATATCTGAGTAAGCTTCAACAAAGTAAATGCCTATGTAAGAGGCCTGAATGATGGGATGGCAGAAAAGTAGTTCTCAAATAATTTGGGTCATAAGACTTCTTTGCATGTGGAAAAATTAAGGACCCTAGAGAGCTTCTGTATATATGGGTTATATCTATTGATATTTACCACATAGAAATGAAACTGAGTTTTTAAAAATATTAATTCCCTAAAAAAACCTCAAAAACCCATGCTAACATGAGTAAAATATTTTCATGAAAAAGTAATCCTATATTCAAAAACAAATTTCTTAAGAAGAATGATGCTGCTTTAGAATTTTGGAAATATCTTTAATGGTTGGTTTAGTAAAAGTCAGTTGGAGTCTCCTATCTGCTTCAGCATTCAATCTGTTATGATAGCTCGTGTCATGTAGCTTCTAGAAAACTCTACTCATGAAAGAAGATGAGTGAAAATGGCAACTATTCCAGTGTTATTACAAAGATAGTTTTGACCTTGCAGATACCTTGAAAGGGTCTTGGGGACAC